ATTATTATTATTATTATTATTATTATTATTATTATTATTATTATTATTATTATTATTATTATTATTGTGACTGCTGTAATTGATCTTTTATGAGCCAGTCCACTTGTTTCATTTTTCTTTTAGGATTAAATTGAGTGGCTGACTGGATTAAGGGATTAGAGGGGTTGAAAGTTTATTATTTAGCTCTAAGAAAATATAAAATAATTAATATATATATAGGGGTTGGTTCAAATAAAAACTAGTCCTGGTGTGAGAACCGTATTTGATGCTATTTTTAATTGTGTATGATGCTATTTTTCATATTAGATGATGCTATCATCTTTTCGAATGCTAACAGAAATTGTGTTGCTATTTTTAATAAAATTCAACTTGGTTAAAAATAACACCAAACACAATCACGCATAGCACTACGCACAATTAAAAATAGCGATTCTCATGGTTCTCACATTAAGATTTAGTTTTCATTTGAACCACATCCTATATATATATTTATATGTATAACGAAAAAAAAAAATACTTGCGGTTTTCTGTGATCCATTGGTAGGGAAAATTCTCATTACAAAAAATTTTGTTTTTTCTATGAATTCATTTATTGTTTTATGTTTTAGAAAACTACTTCTGTCTGTAGAATTACAAAAATATTTATTTATTTTTTAAATTGCATTTTTTTTTTTAACTTTTCAAACAGATTAAGGGTGATTAGGTGTTAATAATGGGGTTATGTAACTAACAAGACTCACAATATATTCTTATGGTTAGATGATTTAAGGAAAAAATGATGTGCATTGTTCATCTTGCACGTGCACCACGTGCGCAATTACACAATGAAACAAAATACTTTTCTCTCTTTTTTTTTTCTTTTAAAAAAAAGTACAAATAAAAGAGATAAATATATTTGGTGTCCTAATGCTTCTTTGATTAGAGCTGTTACACTCGTGAGCTTGACTTAGCTCGAACTTAGATCGACTGATTTGATAAACAAGTTCATTTCGTTAACAAGTCGAATTGCGTTTTTAGGGTCCAGAAATATGGATATTTACGTAATTTTCTATACTACTAGTGTAGCTCTGTTCGTTAAGGTTGGAGTTTGGATCGTTTAATATTGATAAATGTGTTGAGCTCGAGCTAGTTCATAAGGTTGTTTATTAGTTAACGAGACAAACTCGACTTTGAATTCTCACCTCGTTTACAGCTCTATGCTTGATTATCTCATTAGGTGCATGGTTCTTTACTAGAGTTTTCCCTCCTTGGTCTTTTTTTTTTTCTTTTACCCTTCATTTTATCATTTTTTTGTGTGTTTATTAATTTTTTACACCTTCCAAATTAAGGAGACAAGACAACAACATTAGACATTACCTTAATTAGGTGTGGATTTGATTCTAAAACGTGTAGTTGGGGCAGCTAATGTTTTCTTGATTATGTCAGTTAAGACACTGTTTGGTGATGTTGAGCCTTCACACAGTTTGTTAGCTGCATTTTGTGTGTGTATCTTTGTTTTTCAACATCCTCACATGCTACTGTACAAAAAACCTCTGTCACACAAGGCCA